GATTAAGTACTCCACTGTTAAACGAAACGTTGGCAGTTCCAAACCACTAGCTGCTCCATAGAGTCCAACCTCGGAATCCCTGCAGGGCGGCAGTTGTATTTTGTCTCCTAGCTTCACTCTGGGTTAGAATCACCTCAACTGCTGTGGAGAATAGGGGCAAGGCCTCCCACCAACACTCGGTTCACTCACTAGCAATCAAGACCCCACAAACTGGCCCATCTGTCACAGACCAATGATCTCAGGTATAAACAGGGTTTGGGAAAAGGGTATTCGGGAAGTAGTGTTGTTGGTAAGTACCGTGGAGTCAGTTCCGACCCATAACGACCCTGTATAGGGTTTCCGAGGCTGTAAACCTTTATGGGAGCAGAAAGCCTCATTTTTCTCCCACGGAATGGCTGATAGTTTCAAACTGCTGACCTTGCAGTTAGCAGCCCAATTCATAACCATGGAGTCCTGGTGTGGCACTGTGGGGTAATGCGCCAGACTGCGAAGCTGTTTGAACTGCAAGGTCAGCGGTTCAAGCTCACCAGCTGCTCCTTGGAAACCTTACACAGTGTCGCTAAGGGTCGGAATCGACTCGACAGCACTCAAAAACAACAACACAACGCTACCAGAGTTACTTCGGGAAGTAGTGTCAACTGGTAAATTTCTAGGAGACTGTCAGTTAGCCATAGCTAGTAAAATAACACTGTGGGTCCCCTGTGACCCCAATACCCACAGAACATGCTCACGTGAGCATACAGGTAACTCTGTCCAGGAAACACACCTGTACCTCTCATAACAAGTGGAAAACAAGACCATCTCCAATGACTCAATGCAGGGTCCCTGTGTGGTACACGCAGCTATCCCACTGGGCTGTACACAAAAGCCTGGGGATGAACTTCAGAAAACAGTTCTAATTTGACACACATGGGGTTGCCACTGAGTCAGAATGGACTCGCGGGCAGCCAGTTTGGGGGTGTTCAAAGAAAGAGGGCGATGGAGATATATCAAGGTGGGCAGATCTTCAACACCCAGTGATGAGTGAAAACAAGAGTTGAAAACCACTACATACAGTAAATACAAGTTATTGTTGTTAGGGGCTATAGAGTCAATTCCGACTCATAGCAACCCTATAAAGGGTTTTCAAGGAGTGGCTGGTGAGTTTGAACCACTGATCTGTGGTTCACACCAACTTTACAGCTCAGTGCTTCATCCCCCAGCACCACACCATGACTCCAAAATACAAGTCAACACTTGTCTTTTCTTACACACCATTCTCCAAGAACATGGGCACATAAACATGCAAACACAGAGAGAACGGTCCAGATGACCCCTACTCAGCTCCTTATGGAATAAAATCTGGAGGATGAGAGAAAGGAGCGAGGAAAGATCTCTCCAATCATGTTTAGGATTTTACTGAGAATACTGGTGCATTAAAATGCACTGGAGCTAATAGATGATGCATGGAAGGGATTGTAACCATGGCGAGAAAACGATATACGACGTGATCAATGTGAAGCTGATGTCCTCCCATGTAAATTATCACATAATTCACAATAAAGCATTAAAATACATAAATAAATACATAAAGTGTACTGGAACTTTATTCATTTATTGCCCCAAATTGGAAGTGAGAAAGATACCCTCAGACACAAACAAACTGCTCCATCCGTACAATGGAGTAGTCGTTTTCAGCAATAGAATGGAATGTATTGTCAAAAGACAGAAAACTTCAGCGCAGCTTCCTAAGTAAAAGGAGACAGTTTGAAAAGACTAAGTCGTTATGAATTCAACTGGGAGTGATGAATAGGGGATGAACACGGGGCATTTTTGAGGGGAGTAAAACGATTCTGTGTTTGTCAAAACTCATAGACCTGGCCAACACAAACGAGACCCTTAATGTACACCAGGGGCCTTAGTTAATAACCATGTGTCAGTATCAGCTCACCTATTGCCACAAATGTACCACAGGAATGTAAACCACTGTCCTGTCAATATGGACTCACATGATCCAATACAGGACAGACCACAGCTGCTCCTTAGGGTTTCTGAGTCTGTAAATCTTTATGGAAACAGAATGCTTCATCGCTCCCCTCCTCCCCCTAGAGTGGCTTGGTGGGTTTGAACCACTGACCTTGTAGTTAGCAGCCCAATGCTAAGCACACAGCACCACCAGGGCTCCTTATAAGATTGCAAGATGTTGGAAACGTAAAGGTAGACATTTTGTAGCAAAAAGAAGAGAGTGGTTGACTTTGCAGTCCAGGAGCGGAGGTCCCTGGGACCATCAAGAGAGGAGAGCGGAGAGCGGAGTACAGGACCCTACCCAGAGAAACAGTGATGCCAGAGGTGGAGGCAGAGAAGATGACTTTAAGAGATGGAGAGACTGGGAACTCTAGACCCAGAGAGGGAGAGGGGCTGTGTGCTGACAACCAGAAGGGCAGGCTTGCGGGGTATACCCTTTGGTTATTCGATGATGCAAGGAGGGGACCGTAATCATGGTAATGAAATGATATACGATAGGACGAATGTAAAGCTAATGTTCTCCCATGTAAACTATCACATACTTCAGAATAAAAAATTGAAAAAAAAAAAAAAAGCAAGACGTTAATAAGAGGAGACACTGTTAGCAAGCTGGTGGGGAGTTTATAGGAACCCACTGTATTGACTGTACTTTTGCTGTAAACCTAAAACTGCTGTTCAACAAAGTCTACTAGAATAATTTGAATGCATTTGAGGGCAAGAAGTAAAGGCAAGTTTGTTTTATAAAGTACACTCTTGATTGAAGCAGGTGACTCTTCTGAGTTACTTTATACCAGGCTCCTCCAGGCTGGAGCCCTGGGCTTACCTTTCAGGAGCCCTGGTGGCACAGTGGTTAAGCACTCAGCTGCTAACCAAAAGGTCTGCAGAAGAAAGATGTGGCAGTGTATTCCTGCTCAGATGACTCTTAGAAGCTCTATAGGGTCAGCATAAGTCCAGTTGATCTGATGGGGGGGGGGGGTTAAGAGAGGAGGCTCTGGGCCTGATGAAAAGGCAGAAACTGCCATGAAACATCAGACTCTCAGAAAGCATGACAAGCTGCCATCCAGACTGATGATCAACAGATCCTGAAAGGGGATTTTAAAAGACATTTCCCCAAAGCCCTTCCGCAGGGGAAAGACGAGGGCTTTCTGTTCCGCAAAGATTGACAGCCTTGGAAACCCTATGCAGGGTCGCTGTGAGTGGGAATCGACTCCACGGCACACCACCATCACCACTCCCAAAGCTAAGCTTGCCTTGGTTCAGAAAGAAGCAAGTCCTCCACGTCAAGACAGACAACCAAGCACTAAACCACAACCCAACTCAACAAGGCATTGTCAAAGCAGTTTTCCACCGGCCCTGCTTGGGCTTCCAACATGAGGGTTCTGATTCTCTTCCTTCCAGAAGACAACAGTCTAGAAATATTTCACTGCTCCATGTGTCAGAATCTTATATGCCTTAGTATTTTCATGCCCTGTGTCTGTTCTTGGGGTCCTGTTTTGACCACCTGAACCAGAGAAGGCCTCTTGTAACACAACTTAACCATCAGCATCTGAGCCCTTCCCCCAGCCTCCAGCATGGACCGGCACCAGCCACCTGCCCTGTTTGTTCTCCATTGCCACCCACAGAGGCAGCAAGCCACAGACAGCCAAAAGGCTAAATTCCTAATTTCCATTTCAAGTTTGCTTCCTTTTACTGCCAAGGAGACAAAAGGAGCTGGGAAGGGGGCTCTCGTGAGGAGCTATTCAACTTCCATAATTGGAACAAGCATAGATTCCCATTTCCCACCCAGAAAAGCCATCCACCACAGAGTGCTGATAGCTTAACCCCATTCCTAATAAAAGGATTAATTAAAGTGGGGAGGGCTAGTTCCAGGCAATCTCTCCTTGAAACTCCAAGGAAATTAACTTGCCCTCCCAGATCAACCTTAACTGAGATGTCCTCCAGCATCAGAGTTTGACCAAAAGACACACAGTCAACATGCTAACAAAGAGATCACAGAGGACTTGGATGGATTTATTGTTTCAGATTTCAAATAGGCTCGGGAGACTACAGAGCTGCCTGGAATTGGGGCTGCCTGCATTAGACATCCAAGCTCCAATGTTCCCAGTGAAGAAACGCCTTCCCCAAAGCCAGATTCCTGACTCCCGGCAAGATTAGCACCCATGTAATTAACCAGGTCTTCATTTGGGGCAGCTTCATTTAGTGGGTATAGTTTCCAAGGGGGAGTAACTCTTAGCAAGACCTTCTAGAGAAATACAAAACCGGATCCGCTAGCTTGATACCAGAACCCCAGCTCTGCCTCTTTTGTGAACCCCACCTCCCAGCTCAGACTTCTCTCCCTGTGAAGTAAAAATTGCCTTCCGGTGGAGAATGGTTTAATTGATCACACTGCTTCCTGCGTCTCCATGGTGACAGAGCACAAGGCCCACCCCCCTCCCGCTTTATTTGGCTTTTCTTCCTCTCCAAGTGGAAAGTGTATCAATCAAGCCTCACAGGCGCCTTTGTGACAGGATTGATTACCTCGGTGATCCCCACCGCCCTGGGGGTGGGCAGCGGATCAGGTCCAGTCTCCGCCCATCTGCCCACCACCTCCCCACTGCCGGCTCAGCCTGGCACACCTGTCTGGAGGCGCGGCCAGGTGCTCCAGGCCCTCTGTATGTTACCCATGAGAGCGCCCCCTGCCCAGGCGGGGACGCCCACCGGGACCACCTGGGCTTGGGTCAAGGAGCGGGCAGAGCCGGGGTCAGCATGGGCGGAGGCGGCCACAGGTTAGCTCCTCCCCCTCCCCTGGATACTATCGCCCCTGGAGGACAACCTCTCCAAGGGGCAGGGGAGATGGCCTGCAGGTCCTGCTCCTCACGGACAAAAGCTCCTCTGCGGCCCGGCCCATGGTCAGGCAGCAGGGGACTGCAGCCAATCGAGTGCGGGTCCCCCTGGGCTCCCAGACGCAAACAGGGACCCTGTCTGACTCCGGCTCCCCTCGCCCCCACGCCCGTTACCTGGGTTGTCGTTGGCTTCCGCGGAGGTGGCTGAGGAATCGGTGAGGACGCTGGGGTCACTCTGTGAGCGGCCCCGAGACACGAGGCAGCCGCTGCCGTCCTCAGACGTGGCCATGGCCCAGCGCCACTCCGGGGAGCAGCGGGGAGTCAGGTCATCGGCTGCGACCAAGGTCACTGGTGAGGGGCTCGCAGGGGGCCGAAGGGGCGTCTTGTTAAAAAAGCGAATAAAAAAGGAGCGGAGGCCTCTGGGACTGCTTTGCTTCGGGGCCAGAGACAATAGGAGTGAAGCTATTCCAGGCGCGCCAAGCCCGGCTTTGTTATTTATTCGTGTTTATTCCCATCCTTCGGTCCATATTCCAGGAAAAAGAAAAAAGTTGAACCACGAAATAAAAACTTTTTCTGGTCAGTGTGTACTACGTGCTTAGGGCAGAGGGTGATGTCCAGTAAAGTCTAAGGGTGCGCCCTTCCCCCCACCCCACCCCCCACCCCCCCGGAAAAAAAGGGAAAAATGAAGAATCTTTGCTCTTGCAATTGCTTTAATCTGAAAGCGGCTCTTGGAGCATCTGTTGGAAAACATTAGGATTCTCCCATCATGCCGTGCGAAAGGACCATGACGTCACGGGAGAGGGGAGTGCGAAAGGGGGTGGTGATGGGGAGGGGTCTCGGATACCTGGCCTGCTTGCCGCCTGGGCTGGACCCTGGGTTAGGAGCCACCCCTACCTCATCCATCTGCACTTTGGAAACACGCAGCTCTCAGCGGGCCCCTTACTCCTCCTCTCAGCAGGCTGGGAGGGGACCCTCCAGCTGGCGCCTCCCCTGGAAGCATGGCTCCATTCTCCCAGCAGCTGCAGGCGGCCAGTTTTTCCCGAGGCTCCGCCTCTTGGGAAGTGAAAGGCAGTGGGACTCCTCCCCCCACCATGGGGGAACTGCTTGAAGCTTCATCTCCGCCTCCCACCTGGTCTGGGGGCACCATGTCCCCTTCCAGACCTCACTCCCCTCCTGGCTGGCTCAGCCCTGGCAGGCAGGAGGGAAAAAAAGCAGGCCAGGCTGAAGTCTTCCAGTGGATTCCCCAGCAGCTCTCCACAGAGCAAGGTGCTACCCCCCTAGGGGCCACCACTTAAGGAGTGATCCTCTGAGGTGCTAATGAGCAAATCCTCACACTTTAAGATGCTTACCAAGACATAGGGTAAACATAGGCCAAGCCTCCCCCTGCCCCCCCACCCCCCAACAGGGTAAGGGAAGGAGGGACAGGCAGGTGCTGTGGTACACAGCTTGGTACAGGAGTGCCTCTGGAAAGAGGGGAGACGGGACATTTGCAAAGAGGCCACAGAACACTGGGAACAATAGGCCCCAAGACTGACTGGGTCACACTGGGGTCAGCCCCTGGTGTGGGTCACTACTTAGTGTCCTCTTGCAGATGACTTGCCACCTGCCCCCTCCCCCTAAGCTGGTACATAAGAGACTGAAACTCTCCTCTTCCACTACCCTCTCCCCGAGTCTGCTCTTTCTTATGTCACTAGCACCAGGGCCTAGAGGGGCAGGGGGCACCCCTGTGGCACCACTGGAGGAAAGCCCAATTAAGTACAAGGACAGATGGGAATAAAAGTGGACACTTGATCCATGTGGTACTCTGGGCATCCAGGAAAAACATACATTCATTCACTTATTTCCCAGGAAGCCTTGTCAGGACGGCATGGAAAGAGTGGTATAGGGAGGCTCCCAAGATGGGGAGGAACACGTGGTCACAGCTGGCACTGAAGACCATGAAGCAAACAGGAGCCTGTACCAGCCTCTTGCTAGACACTGGCAATCAACATAGGTAGAGTGACCAGCCCTGAGCGCTTTTCACAGGTGACACCACTGCCCCCTCACAAATGCCCTGGGAGGTGTGAGCTACTACAGACCCCACTTATGGGGAGGACATAACTTAGCCTTCATGACCCTCAGCAAGACTCGGAGAGTCCACTCAAAATGCAGGTGTAGCATCAACAAGATTTCCCAACCCAGATGCCCCTCAACAGATGAATGGATGCACAAGCTGAGGCCTACATATGATGGAATCACACCCAGTCAGGTGGAAGTTGAGGGGGCCCCCTTCTCTAGTTGATCAGAAAGCCCCAAGCCATTTCCTTCCTTGGGACGAATACCACAATGTGATTGCTTTATCAAGAGCAGGGCAAAGTTCCAAGGAGGAAGATCTGACCCCCTGGCTGCAGCCATGAATCAGAGCAATGACTGAAGATGGTACAGAACACAGAGCCTGTGTTTATGGGGTCACTGTGAATAGGAATGGATTCAACAGTGCATAACAGCAAAGGCAAAGTGAATGATACCTTCCAAAGAGCGTTTTCAAAACCATAGGAGGGGCAGTTAGAGTGGGCACCCAGCAGTGAAGATGCCCAGGCTGACAGCCCCCACAATCTATGTAGAAAGTATACAAAGGGTTGAATAAGACACCAAGACTACAAGAGGAGATCGATCGGTGGGCTCATCCAACCAGCCTGTACTTCCTGGGAACCCTCTGTGCCAAGAGTATGGAGTTTGTGGGAATTCTACAATGAACAAGATACACACAACACACATACAAAGAGGGCTGGCTCTTGGGGCTTTGGGTCTGTAGAGGAGACATGATTAACAAAAAAGCCACCAATCAGATCCATTTCAAAGAGCATAGATTGCCATTGGGTAAAGGAGGTTGAAGGAGAAATGCACTGGAAACTAACAACAGAGGGAGGTTTTCTTAGGCTAAGGAGTCACATGGGCAAGGGGGGGAGGGGCAGCATGGTATCCTGAGGTCCAAAAAGGTGGCCAGAGTGAGGGGCTGGGACTAGATGGTAAGATTGGAGTGTCTTGTGGCCCTTGGTATGCATCTGGATTTTGTCTCCCCACCCCAAGAAGAATTGATGCTTCTGAGTTATGGTGTTGGAGGAGAATATTGAAAGTGCCATGGGCTACCAAAAGAACCAATGGATCTGTGTTGGAAGAAGTGCAGCCAGAGTACTCCTTGGAGGCCAGGATGGCCAAACTTCGTCTCTCATACTTCAGACATATTGTCAGGAAGGACCAGTCACTGGAGAAAGCTATCATGTTTGGTAAGGTGGAGGGTCAGAGATAAAGAGGAAGACCCCCAGCAAGATGGATTGGCCAAGTGGCAGCATCGATGGACTCAAGCGTGGCAACAGTAGTGAGGTTGGCCCAGGATCGGGCAGTGTTTCGTTCTGTTGTATATAAGGTCGCTATGAGTCGGTACCGACTCGATGGCACCTAACAACAACAACAACAATGACATCAACTAGTCCAATGGACCAACGGGACACATGAACATCAGTCTTCATAACCCTGAGATCAGAAGAACTAAATGGTGCCCAGCTACCATTACCAGAGAAGAATCAGGGCGACAGTGGAGTTTGGCAGCAGGGTGGGCGCAGAGAGAGTGGGAGGGGGCAGGCGGCAGGAGAGGCGTTTCCTGGGAGGCCGCACCACAGCCTTACGATGCTGTCTGCACCAGACAGACAGGGTTCTGAGACCCACTCACACCTGTTCCTCACTTACAGTCCACATCACAGGTAGCACACACCAATGGGCATTGCACAGTGCCGTGAATACTGACAACCCTGAACCGTCCTCATGAGACCACCTGCCACAGGGCCCCCAACTTCCAAAGGCCAGTCAGAAAGCACCCAGCCAGCACAATCACAAGGAAACCAATGGGAGCAGAGAACACAAGGCTCGGGTGAGGCACTCAGGAGCCCGTTTCAATTCTGCATTTATATCAGCTTTGTTGTTGTTGTTGTTGTTAAGTGCTGTCGAGTCTGTTCCAACCCTTAGCAACCCTGTATAGGGTTTTCGAGGAGCGACTGGTGAGCTTGAACCACTGACCTTCTGGTTCAAGCAACTTTGCAGTCCGGTGCATTAACCCACAGCGCCATACCTTATTCTGCAGCCTGGGACCCTCACACAGCTGCAGAGCCCGCCTCCCAACCAAATGGACCACCTTCCTCAGGAAAGTAACTGGACCAGTAAACTTCAATCACTTAAAAAGAACTGCTCCAGCTGCTATCCCTGGACACTCTTGGGAAAACAACCAAGGAGGAACAAGAAAGCAAAACTCCGTGTGGGAACTGGGACCAAAGGTAAGAGAAAGGTGGATGAAGGCAAACCCATCCATCCAGACAGAAGCAGGTTAAAGGAGAGCAGCTGCGCCCTCTGCTGGTCACAGGAGGTATTGCATGCACAGATATGTTGTTTGGTGTCTCCCAGCTGACACACAGCACCCCATGTGACAGCAGGAACTACCCTAGAGGATTTGCGATTGTTATTAAATGTTGTCAAGTCCATTCCAACTCATATCAATTCTGTATAGAGTTTCCAAGGAGAGGCTGGTAGGTTTGAACCGCCAACCTTGAGGTTAGCAGTCCAGTGCTTATCCTACAGCGCCACACCAGGACTCCACATAGGATTTAGTAAGCTGCAATCCTTATTGGATGTGGCACTGTGGGAAAAACACTGGACTGGTAACTGCAAGGTCGGTGGTTCAAATCCACCATCCACTTCTAGAAATGGCATACAGGGTTGCTGAGCTGGAACCAATTCAATGCCTCTTAACAACAGCAATATACTGGTATGGAGCTCTAGGATAAGCACTGGACTGGTAAACCGCAAGGTCAGCAGTCTAAAGCTACCAGCCACTCTCAGAAAACCTATACAGCGTTGAATCAGCCAAGTCAACAACACACAACATTTTTTACTAGAACAGACTGTTGTTAGTAAGTGTTGTCAAGTTATTTCTGACCCGTAGAGACCCTGTGTAGGGTTTCCAATGAGCAGTTGCTGAGTTTGAACCGCGGACCCTGAGGTTCAAACTGATGTTGCAGTCCAGCACGTTAACCCACAGCACCATACCAGGACTCCAGATCTTCATCCTTTGGAGCCTCTGCATGGGTTAGAACCTCCAACCTTTCAGTTAGCAGCAGTGTGCTGTTACCCACCAGGGCTCCTCCTAATATGTGGCAGCTGCTATCGATGGAGAACAATCCCCAGTGCCAAAGTCCTTCGCCTTTTGGAATTTTCCTCACATGCCCGGAGCATACCCAGGGGACAGACAGAGTCAAGATG